TGGGGGTCTCACTATGTTGCTCAGGCTGGTCTTGAACTCCTAGGCTCAAGTGATCCTTTTGCTTCAGCCTCCCAAAGTTCTGGGATTACAGGCATGAGCCACTGTGCCTGACCGTGTTTCATTTATTCATTCAATAAATATTTATTAAGCACCTACAAAGTGCCACTTGCCGTTCTAGGGACTGTGAAGCAAACACACCACACTTCCTTCCCTGCTGGAGCTACGTTCTAGCAGAGGAGGCAGAGGATAAAGAATGAGCCAAATAGATAAGTAAATTATGAAGTACATATGAAGGTAATGAGTGCTATGGATTAAAAAAAAATGAGCAGAGCAAAGAAGATCAGGAGTTCCAGGGTTGGGCAGAGTGAAATTTTCTTTTTTCTTTTCTTTTCCCTCCCTCCATCCCTCCCTTCCTCTTTCTTTCTTTTTCTTTCTTCTTCTTCTTCTTTTTTTTTTTTATGGAGTCTTGCTCTGTTGCCCAGGCTGGAATGCAGTGGTACAATCTTGGCTCACTGCAACTCTCGCCTCTCGGGTTCAAGCAATTCTCCTGCCTCAATTTCCCAAGTAGCTGGGATTACAGGCGGCTGCCACCACGCCCAGCTTATTTCTTGTAGTTTTAGTAGAGATAGGTTTTTACCATGTTAGCCAGGATAGTCTCAATCTCTGACCTCATGGTTCGTCTGCTTCGGCCTCCCAAAGTGCTGGGATTACAAATGAGGTCATAGAGGTGGCAGGGACGGGATCATGGCGAAACCCTGTCTCTACTAACTCTGTCTCTATGTGAGCCACTGCGTCCAACCTATGAGTGAAATTTTCCTTGGGGAGGCCGAGATGGACCTCACTGAGAAGGCAACATGGAGCTTGATGGAGCTAATTTAGGCCCACAGTATCTGGGGGAAGAGTGACCCACCTGGAGGCAGCAGCCAGTGCAAAGGCCCTGAGGCTGATATGAGATTGAGGAAGTGTCAAGGGGTCAGTGTGGCCTGAGGAGAGACAAAGGGGGAGAAGCAAATGAGGTCACAGAGGTGGCAGGGATGGGATCATGCAAGACCTGACAGTTTCCTGCAAGGACTCCACCTCTCACTCCAAGTGACATGGGCAGCCACTACTGAGAAACAGCCCAGACCCTCCCAAAGCTGCTGTCACCTCCACTTCCCATGCCCTTTCTACTGATGCTCCAGGCTTGTCCATGAATTCTCACACCTACAATGACCCCGAAGGCCTGAGACCCCACAAGGCCCCCTTTCCCTCCTCACCTGCTCCTTGCATCCATCTCACTGGAGCCCCTGTCTCTCTTCTCCCAGGTTGGCTGAAGGGGCTTCCTGGGGCCTTCCCTGCCCAGCTGGTGTGTGAGGTCACAGGAGAACACGAAAGGAGGAGGCACCTGCGCCAGCACCAGAGGCTTCTCGAGGCTGTTGGGCCTTCTTCAGGCACCCCCAGTGCTCCCCCACCCTAATGCAGGCTGAGGAAGGGGCACAGGTTGGGAGACACCTACCAGTGTGGCAAGGAGAGGACAAAGCCCATTCATCCATTGGATTCACTGCCAGTGGAGATACTACCTCTTGTGGCAACTAATAGAGATCGAGCTTCAGGACAGGGCAGCCAATGAAAACGGCCGCCGGAGTCCATAGCAATAAGATGAATGAGGATGCCTTGATTTTGTGGCCAATGGAGACACAGGCTTAGTGCAGAGCAGCCAATGGGTACTGAGCTGGCTGAGCCTACGACCAGTGAGTATTCCTGCTATGCGCAGGACCAAGGAAGGCAAATCTAGGTCATGGCAGTTAAAAAAGGGCCTCATTGGAGATAAAGCGCTAGGATAAAATTGAGAACAGGAATGAGCAGGAACCCAACCAAAGAAAACAGTGATCTGGGCTCAAGAGACCAGTAGTCACCCTGCTTGGTTCTGCAGCAATGACTGGTCCTGTCTTTTGAGTCTGGGAAATACTAGTTTCCATTCCTGGGTGCTTCCTGTGCCCTCTCAAGCCAGTTCGTCTCTTCCAGAAGAATTCAGAGTGTGTGTCTCAGAACATCTGTGTGTGTGCATGTGCATGCGTAGATATGTGTGCATATGTGACAGGGAAGGCATTCCGCTGAACATGGTGTGTGTGGTGATTGTACCCCTCTCCCTCCTGCAAATGACTGAGAGCTCCGTTTCTTCCTTTACCTCCCATTTTTCCTGTTACTTGCTCCAAGAAAGAGGCTAAGTCTGAGCTTCAGAAGAGACTGTGCTGGATGTGGCTTGGCACCCAGGGAAGGAGAGCCCTGAGCTTTGGGTCTCTTGGAGACCAGGGTTCCGTGACAGTTGCAGGGCGATCTTATGGAGCAGTCAACAGCCTGGCAGAGGAGCCCAAGGAACTGAAGATGGCTAGTAGCTGGGGCCTGAGGACCTTGAAGTCTGCAGGCCCTTCTCCTTGACCCAAACGCTGACCTCCATAATTCCTGCCTGTAGATCCCCCAACTTGAACTATAATCCATCAGCCAGCCTCAGCCTTGAGCTTCAGAATCACACTAAATCCCGCATCTAGGTGAAGAAACAGGAGCTGTGGATCACAGGCCAGCCAGTGAACCCCCTGGGCTTTCTTGCCTTTGTCCTGATCCTCTCACAGAAACACTGGGCCAAACAGTGGGGAGAGATGGGAGAGCAGTGTGGCTGTCCAACCCCATCCAGAGAATCTGCTTCCGGATGAGCAAATGCCTTGCATGATACCAGAGGAGGTGAGGGACAGAGACAGCAAGGGAGACAGTGGCTGGCAGGGGGACCCAGGCCCGGGACAAGGCCTCCCCTTCAGCTCAGGCACAGCAACTTGCCCAGGACAGACAATGTCACGTTGACTGCAGGAGGCGCAGGGACTCCGGGAGACTCAGAGGGAGAAGAGCACTGGCATTCGGCGTGCCCATGATGTTGGAGACTCCCCTAGCATGGTGCCTGACATGTGGGAATCCCTCAATAAATCGTGGTGCATTTGTACTGAGGCTCTCTGGAGAAGGGTGTGCTTATAGGAGCAGTGGAATCCAAGCGCGGTTTCACAAGGACGGGGCTGGTGGGAAAGGAGTTCAGAGCAGGAGTCAATTCTGTTGGGAACTGGGGCTTGAAGGTCGTGTGCAAGACCTGAGTGTGTCAGCCCACTCATGGTTCCTGAGGGACCTCAGGTGCTGCTGGTGGTGGTGGCAATGGTGGTGGGTTTGCAGCAGCTGTGGTTGGGGGCAGCTGCAGGCTGGGCAATGCCTGGGGCTTTGGCAGGGCATGAAGATGCAGCAATAAGGGCAGCACGGTGGCTCACACCTGTAATTCCGGCACTTTGGGAGGCTGAGGCAGGCAGATCACTTGAGCTCAGGAGTTTGAGATCAGCCTGGGCAGCAAAATCCTGTCTCTACAAAAAATACAAAAATTACACAGGCATAGTGGCACATGCCTATAATCCCACCTACTTGGGAGGCTGAGGTGAGAGGATAGCTTAAACCTGGGAGGTCGGGGCTGCAATGAGCCATGTTTGCACCTCTGCACTCCAGTCTGGGTGACAAAACAAGACTCTATCTCAAAAAAAAAAAAAAAAAAGGCAGCAATAAAGACCCTTTACTGACCAGCTAAGCATTTCTGTGTTTAATTCAATTATATGTATTTATTGAGTGGCTTCTATGTGCCAGGCACTGTTCTAGGATCTGGGCATGCAGATATGAAAAAGACCAGGTCCTTGCCCTAGAAAGCCTACATCCTGGGGGTGAGAGGTGACAGGGACAATTACCAAGTCAGCAAATTAATAAGGCAAGGTGGCTCATGCCTGTCATCCCAGCACTTTTGGAGGCTGAGGCAGACAGATCTCTTGAGGTCAGGAGTTCAAGACCAGCCTGGCCAACATGGTGAAACCCTGTCTCTACTAAAAATACAAAAATTAGCTGGACGTGGTGGTGCACACCTGTAAGTCCCAGCTACTTGGGAGGCTGAGGCATGAGAATCACTTGGGCCTGGGAGAAGGAAGTTGTAGGAGGTTGCAGTGAGCTGAGATTGTGCTGCTGCACTCCAACCTGGATGACTGTCTCAAGAAAACAAAACAAAACAACCCCCCCCCCGCCAAAACAGATAGCAGTAGGACAAAATCAGTAAGCAGTAAGCAGAAAATACTGCAAGGGCTGTGGCATAGAATGTTGTGTATGTGTGTGTGTGTGTGTGTGTCTGTGTGTGTCTGTGTGTGTCTGTGTGTGTGTTGGGGGAGAGTGGTCGCTTTAGGGAAGATCCTGGAAGAGATGACATTTGAACTGAGACCCAGATGACTTCTAGAAGGAAGTAGCTGTGGGAAGATCTGAGGAAAGAGCATTAGAATGGAGACAACAGGGGATGATAGTCCAGGGACAGAAGGTAGTGGTGGGGATGGGAATCGGTACACATGCCCCTTCAATTTTTCTGGTGGTGGGGAGCCCCTCCCCACCAAGGTCTCCCTCCCTCTGGCATAAGATGGAGACACACTGGGCTACTCAGACAGATAGAACTCCGGGGGCAGACATGTGCTCCATATACTTTCTCTCCTGGCTCCTCACACTCTAGAGTCCTGCCATTAAGGAAGCCCCGTGCTCAAATTCAGATGTTCTGATGGTGGGATAATGGGGAGATACGGACCAGGTAAGGGTTACTTTGGAGACATGAAGGTGCATAAAATACAACCATATGTTCCAAAAGAGACTGAGAAGAGAGGAAGGGAGGGGACTGCCATGTTTCCTGACTTTTGGGGGTTGGTTTCTGTTATCTCAGAGCCCGCTTTCCATTTTGGGGTGACTGAGTGTGTTTGTCTTCGAGGGGTCTGCATTCTGCTGGCCTGTCCAAGGGGCTGAAGGGCATGAAGCACAGCTATATGAGAAAGGGAAGATGTGGGGGAATGAGGCCCACAGCAAGGACAGAGTGGATAGATAGAAGATGGGAACAGGGATGGGGTAGGGAGGACTGAAGAGGGAGGCCGATGGGGGTGTTGCAGGATGGGTAGCAGTAGGTAACTCAGCTCATCCTGAATTGTCTCCCTCCCTCTCCCTCAAGCATCTCTGCTATGGCATCCTGGGGGTGTCCAGCATCCCCTCCCTCCTGTGTTCTTCCTGCCCCTCTGGGTTGCCTCCTGCAACTTTCTCATAGGTGGCATAGGAGGGTCCATGGGAGAAGCCTCTCAGGGGTGCCCTGTCTGCCTTTCAGGTGTGCTGGTGTGGGTGGTACAGAGAGGTTCACTCAGTCAGCTGGGGAGTCCTACAGCCACCATCGCCTTAGTCCCTCACAGCCTATCGTGCTGGGAGGTGGAGGAAACTGACATTTCTACAGGCTCAGGAAAGGTGCAGGCGTCCCGGGGGGAGATTCCTGAGGGGACATGGTGGGAAAGCCAGGCCCCAGTTGGGGACCTCTCTCTGAGTCACCCATGGCCCTGCTCCTTATAGCCAAAGCCTCCATATTCTGGGAGTCAATTGTCAACGCAAAAGGAAGAGGCTGAGACACAAAATATGATCGAAAGAGTTTACTTGAGCCAAAGGGGGCCGGGTGTGGTGGCTCACGTGTGTAATCCCAGCACTTCAGGAGGCCGAGGCGGGTGGATCACTTGAGGTCATGACTTTGAGATCAGCCTAGCCAACATGGTGAAACCCCGTCTCCACTAAAAATACAAAAAATTAGCCGGGTGTGGTGGCACCCGCCTGTAATCCCAGCTACTTGGGAGGCTGAGGCAGGAGAATCGCTGCAACCCAGAGGTGGAGGTTGCAATGAGCCGAGATTGTGCCATTGCATGACAGCCTGGGTGACAAGAGCAAGACATGGTCTCAACAAACAAACAAACAAACAAACAAACAAACAAACAAAAACAAAGGGAGGACGACTGCCAGGAAGACTCAGACCCAAGTAACCTTGGATGTGAGCTCCATTAGGGCTTTGTTACAAGCAGGTTTTCAAAGACAAAAAATGGGAACAGGAAGTGGGCTGTGGGCTAATACAAAGTTGTTAGGAATTTTCATTGGTTTACAGAACTCTCATTGAATAGTGATTGGCTATACTCTGTTAAGCTACAGGGAGTGTGTTAGAGTGTCCACTGTGGCATTACTAGGTTAATTCATCGCTACTTATGGCAATAGCAAGCCAATGCAAGCAGTTTCAAGAGATGAATACATAGCTCAAAGGCGGTAATGGGATGTCACTGCTATCTCCTTTTAATTCCCTCTCTGGGCCTGATTTTTTCTTTTTTTTTTTTTTTTGGTCACAAGGTCTGGCTGTCACCCACGCAGGAGTGCAGTGGCAAGATCTTGTCTCACTGCAGCCTCGACCTCCTGGGCTCAAGCAATCCTCCTGCCTCAGTCTGCCGAGTAGCTGGGACCACAGGCAGAAGCCACAACACCCGACTAATTTCCGTATTTTTGTAGAGACGGCGTTTGGCCTTGTTGCCCAGGCTAGTCTGGAACTCCTGGCTCAAGGGATCCTCTCGATAGGCCTGATAATTTTAAAAGGCTTGCCTTCCTCAGATAAAAGGTTTTTCTTTTCCTACAAGATAAGGCAGATAGTACAGGGCACGGATCTCTCTTCGCACTGGCCTTGTGTGGACCCCTGGTCAACAGCTTCGTGGCCCATATCCCAGATAAGCGGGGGTGGGGTGTGGGGGTGGGGGTTGTAATCATGCCCACAAACAACAGAGGAAAGAGAGGAGCCTCGCCCTCTTCCCTCTCCCCCGTGACCCCAAGCCTGCTCACTAGTTCTCTCCTCCTTCCACCCCCAAGGAACCCTCCAGCCCACTTCCTGTGATCCTTTCCGGAGCCCTTCAGCCTGGCTGGCTCTCTCGTCATCTCGGAAAGCTTCTCTTTCCTCCCTGCATACTCGCAGGTCTCCCCCTTCAGCTGCAGAGATAACTGCAGGCTCAGGCTGTCCAGGGTGGCCAGCCCACCAGCCCACTGTCCGGGTGCGGCAGTGCCTCTCCCGCGACAGCTTCACCACGAGCCTGGCCGGTTCCCGACCTTGGTCCCCAGGACGTCCTCTCCAAGCCACGTTCTCACCACCCTCCAGCAGCCTCGGGCGACACCAGGGGAGCAGAGCGCTGGAGCTCCTGGCAGTCACCCGGACCCTGGTGGGGCGCCCCTCACACTCCGGGGCGCGGCCAGGCCCTGCTCTGGCCCCGCTCTGGCCCCTCCCCTCCCGCAGGGCTGCCCGTGACCCTGCGAGGTACCGGGACTCACTGCGTGAGCGCAGCGCAGCTGTAGGGGTTCCTGCAGCGGGTCTCAGCACGTCTTCTGGCCGGGCTCTGTGGTCTCCCGGCCCGGCTGTGTCTCCTGGTTCTCAGCGATCGCCTCCCACGCTGGGCGCAGTGTGTGGGGGCGTTCCCAATGGAAAATCCTGGGGAAGTTGAGGCACTGGCTCCCGCTGTCCAGACCACTGCCCCACGCCCCCTCAGCGCTCCACTCCTCCTTCCCGCCCACACGCAGAACTCGAGGTCGCAGCGGCCGCCACGAGGTCCCGGGGCCTGCGTTCAGCTGCTTGATCCGACTAGGATAGACTCCGGACCCGAGTGGGTCAGCTCCGCGCCCGATGGCGTTTTTCAAGCTGGTGCCTGCAAGTGTCCCCGCCACGGGGCATGGAGCCGTGGAGTTTGCACGCGAACTGCCCCACAACCACCGCTGACCAAAGCCTCTCCCATTCCTTCCACAGTTAGAAACCTCAATCTGCCCTCTGTGCAAAAGAGTTGGGGTTGAATCCAGATTTTGTGGGAACCTTAAAAAAAATTGACTAAAAAAAAGAAATAAGAAAAAAAAATTGACTAAAAATTTGATTTGAAATTGAGCCTGAGTTTTTTTTGTTTTTGTTTTATTTTGAGACGGAGTCTCACTCTGTTGCCCAGAATGTCCAGGCTGGAGTGCAATAGCACGATCTCAGCTCACTGCAACCTTCGCCTCCCTGGTTCAAGCGATTCTCCTGCCTCAGCCTCCCGAGTAGCTGGGACTACAGGCTTCCACCATACCTGGCTAATTTT